CCACTAGGCTACACCACCGCCCCGAAGTGCGTTAAACAACTGAACCACCTGTGTCCCAAGGAGAACATGAAAATCATTCTATTCCCAACATGGGTACAACGTGTAAAGCCCCATTACTGCTGTCCACCGTGATATTGATGTAATATTGCTAAAACGGCATAAACTACACTCACTCACTCTAGAACAAACAGGCAAATATAAAAAGGCAATATTCATATTTACATGATTTTATTTATGAAATGCATTAATGTCACTTGTATTAAAACAAACATAAGAACGCTCCACAAAACACAATCCATGCAAACTATTGTTCAAAATGTATTTTGAAGCATACATTCCCTTACATCGAATACAAACAAATACAACTTCAGTTCCGGGGGTTCCTTAAAAATAATTTCCTTACTGATTGAATCGATTTCGTTAGAAAAGAAACAGTCTCGACTTTACTTGCAGAAATATATTTGTGATGCCGTTTCATGATCTGTTCCAACACCTGGACGATACTGGTGTCTTTCTCGGATGAGATCTCCACATGTCCATGGCCTCATAATCGATGTTGGTGGACAGCACAGATAAAAGCGTGCAACTGTCCTGATGTGTTAACTTGAAATGTTGCTCAAGCCTGAATAAAAGCCTTAAAGACTCCTGTTCCTTATATACCAGATTGGCGAAACGCGTGACTCACAACGTGTGATGTGCAAAACAGTTGTGATTGAATGACTCATAAATGAAAGATCGTGATCATCTCTCAGGATACGAGTATGTCATTGGTATTGGGGGATATCAAAATAGAAACGTTTCGAATAAAAATCAAGTAGTTGCAAATCCTCAGTGCCGATAGGATCTGAACTTCAGGTTTTTGGCTTTCTGGTCGATGAAATTCAGACGCTCTAAAATGAATCAGAGAAGCATATTCTGAGACAAAAATCTAAAGACCACCATAATGTGTGTAGCTCTACAGCTTTTAAACGAAACGTATGGTGAGTCAACTTTATATTAGAATTGCCAACTTGGGCAAACAATCTTTGAGTGGCATTTAGAAGTGATGCGCTTATAGGGGTGTGTGGGATATATTCTAATCCCCCCCCCCCCCTCACATACACACACACCCAACCATCCTTCTTTTATTCCGGTGATTCATGAAGCAAGTGTTATTCACAAACTTCCATCTTTCTAGTCATCACTGGGGGATCTCTAGATAAGTGTCAATGTTTCTTTCACAGTTTCTTCAGAGTGCAAATTGTGTGCGTAGGATGTGTGACAGCTAGAGCACCAAAGTCGTTGCGTTCACTGACACCATTTTCAACATGTGTTGGTTCTTCTCCACTGAATAATGCATATATGTCTATACCTCCTTTTCATGCAATCAGTAAATGTACATTTGGTGCAGTGTAGGTATCAGACTTCAGTACTTGCTTTCCCCAAACACCTGTCCTCTGTTGAGATCGCTACAAATATACACATTCCAAATACCTGAGATTTATGTTTAGCTTATTGTAATTACAACGCTTAGTGAGAATAATGTTTAGATAGTAATCAAAAAGTTATAACGTAATATTTCAAGTCGGGCTGATTTTATAGGTATAAATGAGCATATTTCGAAAACGTTTGTGTACTATCAGTTGATAGGTTTGAATATCCCCTCAATGTAGTATCGCTTTTTGAAAAATTATTAATTGTCTCGAAACGAGTAGTTTTTGCAAGTGGACAGGTGGTTATTGATGCTGGATCCCAGTTCCTTGATGTAAAGGGGAAAAAGAACTGATCCGAGGACCGACCCTTGGGGAACCCCACATGAGAGTTGGACCTTGCGTGAATACTGGTTATTAATGACAATAGACTGATACCTGTCAGTTAAGTAGGAATTGAACCACTTAAGAGCGGTTTCCCCAGTCTGAAGGTCCCTCCTAAGTCAATAAGTCGCTGATAATCAATGTTATCGTACGCCGAGCTAAGGTCTAGCAGCGTCAAGAGGCCAACCTTGTTATCATTGACACCCAGTCTTTCGCCATTCAAAACCCTGATCAAGGCAGTATCTGTGCTTTGGTTGGAGCGAAAAGCAGATTGGAAGTCGTCCAAGAGATTGTGCTTGCACAGGTGTTCGGATAGCCTTTCAGCCACAGCCCTTTCGGTCAACTTTGAGACGAACTGAAGATTTGAGACTGGTCTGTAGTTGTCCAGCATGTCAGGATCAAGATGACGCTTCATTAGTAGAGGTCTGACCCAGATTTGAAGACTGGCGGCATCTCTACATGTCTGAGGCTGAAATTGACTATGTTCGTCATAACTGGGAGAAGGATATCCAAGTTGCTCAAGACCAATGATGTTGGTATGGGATCGAGTGCACATGAAGTTGGCTTTGAGTTTCTAATTCAGAATATCAGAGGTGATGAACTCCCTGAAAGTAGTGAGGTTCTCACAAGGGTCACTCGGATTTTGAGTACGAGACGAGCTTGAGTCTCCCTGTTGTTTGGTATCACGTTTAGCAACATTCCAATCCAATATGTTGCTTGTCTCAGCTGTAGATGAGCGAAATTTGGAGATCTTATTTGTGAAATAGTCCATGAAAACATCTGGTAAGGCATCAGAATTGTGGTTAGATGGTAACGGGGATGACGAATCCTTACCCAAAAGACGAGACACCAGCTTGTGGAGTGTTCTTGGGTTGGATATGCATGCCTCGATTTAACGTTTAGAGATGCATGTTTCGCATAAGCAATGGCAGTGGTAGCCGGGTTTCTGACGGCGCAATATATCTCCTGTGGATTTGAAGGCGAGACAGTCTCCAAGCTCTCTGTGCTCTATGGCAATTAGCATTGGCAGCCATGACGTCCGCGGTAAAGCCCAGGAAAACACAGGACGTTGAGGGACTAGCTTCTTCTTCATAGGGGCGTGCTTATCCAGCAGCTCATGGAGGACAGTATTGTACAGATGTGACAGAGCATTTGGTTCCGTCGGCTTATCGATTGAGATAAGTTCAAACTGAAAGTTAGGTGATCGATATCTTTGATATTTCTGCAATTGATCTGAGTTTTAGGACAGGGAGGGTTGTCAACATCCAGATGGAATGTCACTAGGAAGTGATCCGAGATCTGCAGATCACTAACCCACTGGTCAGACGCACATCCTTACCCACCACGACCAAGTCAAAGGTTATAGGCACTCTGCTGTGTGGATTCCGTGACTAGCTGAACCAACTGCAAGCTCTCCAAGAGCCTGTACATTGTTTATACATGTGTTCTTTCTGGATGGCGATGATCTGTATGCGGCTACGATGTTTGTTGAAGGTTTTTTTCCAATTTTCAACAAAAACACAAGAGTTTCAAATGAGTCAACATTCAACACTTTGAAATTGAAATGAGATCCATGGATTATCGCCACACCCCCACCAAGTGATAGGCGGGGCTTGTGTTTTTTAGATGTGTAGCCGGGAGGAGTCATGGGCGGACGGAGCCATGTTTTAGTAGGGACCAGTATGTTAATGCTCCTGTGAGTTGTCACATCGACGATGTCATCACACTTGTGGCATGCAGAACGAATGTTTAGCAGGCATACTTTAAGATTTGGAAACAGTTTGGGTGGTAGAATGTATACCAGGTTGTCATGATTTACTTGCCCGTGATTGGTTGGTGGAAGATATGAATCATCAATGACAACCTTGATTGGTCATGGTTTTGTTCTGCCCCCTCCTGTACCTCGTTTGAAAGGTCGACGGCGACGGCGCTTGTGGTTGATAAGTGCATCAGGTGAGATGAGTTGATTACAGCCACAGTCATGATTTATCCTTTGTTTGATGTGAAGTAACTCATCTCTGGGATAGGTAATCCTATTACCACTTGCCATGCCACAGCTTGTCCAGTGAATTTAGAAAAAAATAGCCGATTGACAGGGTATTGTTTGTGAAAAACAACTCACAGCTGAAAATGCCACATTTTTGTATAAATATACCCAATAAAGTTAATATTACACAGAAGTTGAAAAACGTCATAAGTGCACCAACAATTAGGAAATATCTGCCTGAACATTCACGCCAAGTTTGGTAGATTTGTGAAGGCAATAAACCATGTAATCCGCTCAAAGTAGGACGATATCAAATGTTTTAAATGTCTCCTAATTCGTTCATGTTTTAGGATAAGATTCATGTCTAACTCCGTATGCAGCAATTTTCGAGCTATACGACGGCGATCCATAAATAATGTATCTTGACCACACCATCTACTGATTGAATGTTCATCAACCTGCGCATCTGGAATACGATAACATGTATTAACCATGGCAGTACCTTGTAGCTCGTCATTAAGTCCCAGTCCAAATACAACACATCACTCCCCATCCCCGCCGAATATCAATAGAAACACTGGAACTCCACCGACAACCCGCCATACAATGAATAACACTGTCTCTTGTAATGAATTGTTGGTTTCCGTAGGCAAAGCAAATACACATTCATGAGCATTTGGATTGCAGACCATGTAGCATTTTCGGTCCCCGTGTCCAATCAGTCTGAAATGAGATCATCAAACCTTACGTGCTTCCTTGTACCAGTTTGTGTTTAAACCTGATAGATATGAAGAGAGTCTCACCCAAATGTCTACTGATATCAGTTATATCAACACGAGTTGATAAAGTTACAAATATATACTTACTTTTATCAACGAGTGCTGATATATTTGATACCAGAGTGAGTAAGTTAATGTTTATCGTCACATCGGCAATATTTCTGCCATATCGTGACGAGAACAATTACTTGATACCAGAAGACACGAGGGTGAGATTCTATTTATCATAAAAAATCACTCATCAGTGTTCAAGGAAAAATGTACATCTCTTAGCACGGTACCGCCGTTAGACTTGCAATGCAGTGATGTCATAGTACTGTGATGTCATCAAGTTTGTGACGTTAAAGCATTGTGATGTCATCAGGTTTTTGATGTCATAGCTTTGAGTGTTGTAATTGATGATGTCAAAGCATTGTGATCTCGGGTAACTAATGACGTCATGGCATTGTACAAAATCTACTGTACAAAACCTTTGATCTCACACAAGAATGTTTCCAGTGGAATACAGTTTTTGGATGTAAAATGAATATATGTCATTGTCCAATGACGTGGAACATTGTTTGACATCATTTGAGAGGACAAACATTTGCATTTTATACAAACTGATTGTGAGTGGGTGTTCAAAGGCCAGAGCAGGCTGTCTTAGATTCATTGTATCTGTGAATTATGAGCACATTTCCTGATCAGTTGCTAGTGATCTATAGCCTGTTTTCATATTATGTGCTTTCAAAATAGTGTTATTCGTTTTAACTTCACCTGCTGGCGATCGCTTAACATCTTACATGAGTAATTCTCTGTGACATTAAAGGTAAAATGTCGTGCAGTATGTGACATTGGTGTCTGTACCTGTGATCTCACGTATTAACGTGAGGAGGAATGACTCATATTAACCCTTTGTGTGTAACCTCCATGTCTAGTGCATCAAAGGAGGCGAGCTGCTTCTGAAGGCGAGGTTGTTCTTGATGTTTGTCGTCAGTTTAGCCTTCTCTTCCCGCACTTTACAAGACCCGGTGTTACAACCCTCTCAGGAGAACAATAATTTTACTTTGCTTTAACAATCACCCAGGGCACGTAGAGTCTCCGTTCATAATCACATAGTACAATAAAATGAGTGTGTGAGTGAGTTAAAAGTTAACGTCACACCGGCAGTATTTCAGCCATATAGTGACGAGAACAAAGTATATATGATAAATATGTCACGAACAGTACAGTCACGGACAGTAAAACATTAGCAACGTACCACAGAATTCGAGTCTAAAAACTAATTATTTCCAATTCTGAAAATGCAACTCGATATGACATATATTAACATTAAAAACACGACTATGGACCACCAACAACCAAAGCTAGGCCATTTCACTTGGGTTCATGGGGACTTACAGTACTTCAGCTTCCTGCATGAATTCCCAGCAGGATCTATACCATCACTTCAGCCACTGGTAATTGTAAACAATGCTAGCCAGAAATTATAACAATACATTTGAAGAAGTTCTTGAGAGGCATGTAGAAGTTGGTATTCAAATATAAGACAAAATGTTATGGATGTCAACTTCTTCTTTATTGTATACACAACGTTTCTGGGCTATTCCTTGCCCCTTCGTCAGATATTTTGCTTATTGAATTGTACTTTTGGTCATGTGGCCATAAATACTGAATAAAGCTCTTCTTCTTCGTCAGATGAATGCTAAATAACAGATATACAGGATATATATACTAGTAATGTGCATGAAGCCAGAGGGATTTTAAGCATGTATACACAATAAATAGGGGATTATAAGATGAAGGAGACTGAAATATACAAAAGCAGATATGGTGTTGTTACGGTGGAGTAAGTGAGTTAATGACAGAAGCCAATGAGTCTAATAGGTATACAAAAGGGTGGCTGATAGTCTAATGATATACAGAAGCTGGGATAAGATACGAAAGGCAGGGTTGATGCTGTTACAGTGGATTAAGGGGTGATTGGTGAAGCCTTGACCTAATTGATTCCCCAGGCATTGGATAGGTAAACCCCTAGATCCCTGTTCATAACACAGCAAAAATAACTTCGTTTCCGGACACCGGACACCTAACTGAAACAAAATTGAAACTTAAGTTTCAGTTAGGTTTCCGGACCGTTTCTCTACATTTCCTTCAAGTTTCCGGAAAACGGAAAATTACAAAATACCCACAATCCGGTAAGGCTTCAGTGCGTTTCCGTTACCCAGATTCCCGTGAGGATCCAGTGCGTTTCCGTTACCCAGATTTCTGTAAGGCTCCGGTGCGTTTCCGTTACCCAGCTTCCCATAAGGCTCCAGTGCGTTTCCCGTTACCCAGCTTCCTATAAAGCTCCAGTGCGTTTCCGTTACCCAGATTCCTAAGAGGTGCCATTGGGTTTCTGCTATCTTCTACTTTCAGTTCCTCTTCTTTCAGTTGGTTTCAGTTATTTACTTAATTGAATTAGGTTCCCTTTGATTTCCGTTTCTTTTTAATTACATTAACCATATTCCATAAGTTTCAGTAAATCAGAATCTGTATGGCTCCATTTGGTTTCAATTATTAGTATTCAGTGATTACCAAATGTCCACATTAAATGATGATTGAATAAATTACATGACATAATACATTCAAATACATTTCCACTACATTTATCTCAACACAACGTGGACATAAAACAAAAATCAGTGAGTCAGTCGATTTCTCTTTATTCATCATAAACATGTTTTTTAAAAATATCAACAAATAGCACTAACATGTAGGAATACACACACCAAAAAACCCACAAACCAATAACACCCATATATACATCACATTGTCCTCATAGTAAGTCATAGTATGACTATGTTTCAATGTTCCATAATACATTGTCACAAATCACAAACTCTCGTCAGTTGATTTCTCTATATTCAGAGAGAAATGAATTGCACACTTAAAACACACAAACCACTTTCCCATATGTATATTTATATTTATTATGCAAGGAACAGGTTTGAGTGTATTCAAAACCTAAATGTTTGGAGGGTGTGAAGGAATGGTGACTCAGTGTTGTTTTTCCTGAACAGGGAATAACCAAATGTACATTCTATCCTATCCCTAATTGTCATGAATCATATTCTCAATAACCTGGATGGATGATGGGTGTGTGTGTGTGTGGTGGTGGTGGTGGGGGTGGGGGGGCGTCGTCGCAAGGTCTTCATTTTTGCCATGGCTCTGGAGCATGCTGAAGCCATTCGTTCATTGTCCAGTAGGTGTGCGGACAAAAAAACATGTGGACAAAAGCCCCCTAGGTAAAAAAAAAACAGGACAAAAAAAACTTGAGACAATAAACCCCACCATGTAGGACAATAACCCCATCACAATTTGGGCACTAACCATCAACACAACCTGATGTTATGTCCCACACCGATCAGAAAGTCTTTAATGGAGATCTTAGCATCTCTTCGATTGGATTACATCCATGTTGGAATGCTACTGCCTGCTTAGTTTATGGAGCATATATTTATACCAGTTGTAATATGATAGTGAGTTGAAATACTTAATAATGTATACACATCTAAATACTAAGATAATTAATGAAGCCTGTTAATCCCTATCAGGGATAATCTCTTTTACTGATTCAATCAAAACATGTCACTTAAGTCAATCACTCAGTAGTTAAAACATATTTGGGGGTTTTGTCCAGAGGTCCTCATTTGGAGGTTTTGACCTTATGGGTTTTTGTCCTAGCGGGCTTTTGTCATGTCGAGTAATAATATACTTGGAGAAAGTTATTTTACCTTAAATAAGTCCGTTTTAGTGGATTTTCAAGGGACTCCACGAACTTTTCCATGATTCTTCTCACAACAGTCTAAAACATAAAGAGACACACATTTGGATTATGAACATATGTCGATTGGTAATATTTTCCACCTAATTATCATGAACTACTTATTTCATCAATATTTGTGTCTTTGCTGCATATTACCATTTCAGACTCAATAATACTTTAATGGGGAACACGGAAAGCGTACTTGTTTTATGGTTATATCTTAACGGAATGTTCAGCTGTTATCAACAATAATGTTGTGTTTTACAGATTTCACACCAAAATGCAATGTCCACAATAATAACCGTGAGGGAAATCGAAATGAGAGCGAACCGTTACTGTAAAATAACGTTGCTACCGAAAACGTTTAATTCGATGCAAACTGACTGCTATGATAAGAAGAAAATAATGAATTTCAATTTCATCTGAAACCAACCTGGCAAGGACGGGGTACAGCTATTTTCTCTGCCCTGGGTTTCCGTTGAGATCGCTCAAGTTTCCGGATCCTCAGTTCCAAAGCTTCGATTGTGAAATATGTTGCCATGTCTCAAGAAAATTGTATACTGACTGCCATTTCTACTACCTTACTCTCATAGACCTTACTTCAAAACAACAATTACGAAGTTTTTTTTCAATCTCGTGCTTCTATGTTTGAACAAAGATGGCGGCATTTCAAACAAAGACATATGGGTGCAGAATTATTTTTCTTAAATTCTATTGTAAACATGCCGATAGTCTGCTTACCCTTCACAGTTTTAGAAAAACACTGATAACTTCAATATGTGTTTATGTAAATTGTTTGTTTTTACAATGACCATCACAACTCGCGGGGCCTTATTCATTCCTAATAAGCGCTGGACTTGGCAGCTGTCTACCTTGGCAGAATCTCTTCAACCTAATCAGTGGAACAATAAGAACGGTGGTATGATGACCGATCCAATTTGATCCTATTTCTGTGTTTTTTTTTACAAGAAACAACGTGATGTCTGATGACCTGTTATATTAAAACCACGCATTTGATGTATTGGAATCCGTAAAGTAAACCATCCCCATTTTGCCACTGCAAGATTTACTTGCAATAAATTGGTAATTAGGTATACACACCTTTTAACTTTAGTACACAGCAAATGCTGCATTTCTTATGCAACAATGAAGTTCCGTTCATATCCTCAAACAGCGTCGACCCCTTAGTGTTTTAGGCAATTAAAATTGTATGCAATACAGCGATCACTACTCCATTGCTGTAAACCGTGTTTGGTGATATAAACCTACACCTGTTTATTTGTCATCATTCAATTCAGGGTCAAATTAATGAATTTATAACAGGTATAATTAGTGGTAACACCACTCAGATTACCCGACAAAGATTCCCATTTAGCATTTCTCAAGTCTGCACTAAATATTCAAATTAAGGTCTGATGTATTTCATATTATGTAATACATGCATGGAGGTGCAGCAAAAGGAATTATCAACTGAGTTTAAAAAAAAAAAACACAGAAAAAAGGATTAAACGATAGCACGCTAATGGATTTATTACGTTTATCTTGCCCAACGGATATGTCAAAAGGTAGGGTTTATGCTTGTAGAGTTACTAACCTATACTGAATACACCCACATTCTGTCATGTAAACACAACGACCTTCCTTCAAGGATTAATCGACAATACGTTGATAGCTCATTGTTTTTTTCCAAAAGAATTCTGGACATTATGTAAATATGTGTCAGTTGTGTT